TTTTTTTTTTTTTTTTTTTGGTACTGGGGAATCAAATGTGGGTCCTTGCACTTGTGAGGCAGGCAGTGGAACCACTGAGCTAAATCTCCGGTCCTCTGTGTGTACTTCTTTGTGTAAGTGTGTTCCCGTCTGCTCACAAAGAGCGTGGGCATAGCAGCCCCAGGTACATGTATGTAAAAACAGCTGCAGACATAATTTTCTATGCATTATTTATAAGTAGCTTCTTTCTAGATTTTTCTCAGATTAGATATACCTAGAATTAAAATAAGGAAGTAAGAGACCCTGTCGCTCTTAATCCTAGACTTCATATTTGTAACAAACACTCTATATCTGAAATTCAAAACACAGTAGTTTTCTGTTTAAATGGAAGCAGTGATCAACCATAGCAACGATAATTGACTTACACTTTGTAAGTAAATAATAAAAAGAAAACATCACCAAATTCATACTTCTGTGTATCAGTTACACTATAAAACCTCAATTCAGAATATTATTAATAATAAATTCTTTTTAGTGGTAAGACATTTGGTCTATGAGTTAGAGGCATGCTACATCAAGTAATTTGACTTTTAGATCTTAATGCTTATATCATATTTTCATCAATAAACTATGTTGTAGATCAAATATTTGTCACTACTATTACAAATGCAAAATAACTTGAGGCTTGGCTACTTTTTCATGATTGTTATGAAGACTGGGACAGTTTTTGGTCACTCTCTTGCTCAACTAGCATCAATAGCAATAGAGATGTCCAGGAGCTTTGTCAAAAGAGTTTGTGTACAGGAGATTAGATGGCAACCTGAGAAATAGGCTTGCAAAGTACACATGTAACTGATGAGACTAACAAGTTAGATGTAGAAAACTAGAAAACCAGGAAATATGTAAGTGGTGAGTTGGGGCACCTCCAAACGTCAACTCCAGGAGTTTTGGTACAGTCCTGCAGATGTAGCCCAGGAGAGCCTGAGTGACTGAGTGAGCTCACGTGCATTCAGGTTTGTGAGGAACCTGTGTAGAGAAAGACAGTGAAAGGAGAGAACTGATCAATGTGGCGTGTGGACATCTGGTGAGTGGCTCCACATTTCGCAGTGCCCATGGCTGTGCCTTTCAGAGGAAGGGAGGAAGGGGCCCCTGCATGCAGACCACCCAGTGGCTGAAAGTCTGCTGTCCACGCTGATGCTTTGCCTGATCAGTAATCAACATCTCCACCAAGGAAGGTCTCTGATCCACTCTCTAATTGTCCTATCAGCCGTTATATATCTTTTGCGGGGGGAGGTACCAGTGATCGAACTCAGGCCCTTGTGCTTGGGAAGCAGGCAGAGGAACCATTGAGCTAAATCCCTGGCCCTTACATTTATTTTTTAAATACATCGTCAAGGGAAAATGTAAAATTTAAGAAAGAAGCAAATTTACTCACTTAAAGCTCCTAATTTCCAGGGTTGGGGATTTGGCTCAGTGGTTCCACCTCCTGCCTTGCAAACACAAGTTCCCGAGTTCAATCCCCAGTACCAAAAACAAAACAAAACAAAAAAACAAAATCCCTACAGTGCAATGCATAGTATTTTGACACCAAAATGGTAAGACAAAAGGGAGTGTTTAGTATGTATCTATATCTATATCTATATCTATTTTTTTATATATTCAGAAATTCAGCCCTTTTATTTCAATCTTGATTTTTTTTTTAAAACAGGTAAGTAGTTTTACCAATTTTTGCATTTGGTAAATGACAAATAAGTGAAAACAAATGAACAAAGAACCACCTATTGATATCCTTACATTAGATCTAGTATAATAGAGTCCACTGTAATTAGTAGACTAATTTTGCAAAATTCACCAGATTTTCCCCAAGGGAACTTAGAGCACCATGGGGAAGAATCTGAGTCGTGGTGATCTATACTCAAAGATTTTTAAAACTTGAGAACTTCTGAGGGGATCAAAAATTGTTAAAATTTTGATTTTGTCATATTTATATATTATCTATTTTTATTTGTTTTTTAATACTCGTGATTTATCTAATATTAATTTAAGACAACCAATTAGCAAAAAAGATTAAATTGTTCCTCTTTCCGGAGACAGAGAAGTGGGTATAGTAAATTCCCATTCCAAATATACATTTTAGGCATTTAGATGTACATTAGCTTATATTTGTTTGACTTCAGGATTTAAAAATTGTCAAATCAGTACCAGGTTAATACACATCCAGGAATCTAATGTACTAATATAAATTTCTAGGAAAGAAAGCATTTTTATGTACAAACAAAGCAGCAGAACTTGATAGCTCCTGCATTTCCAAAAGGAAATCTTGGTTTGCTGAGCTGGCAGGCTCTGTTCTCTGTATCAAGCATGGGTGAGGCTGACACTAAAATGATCACCCATTGTGACCCAGAGCTCAGCTGAATGGGCTGTTTACTGACAAGAAACAAGGGAGTAGTGGGCACTCATTACTTAAACGCTTAAGTCTTTTTTTTTCCCTTTAAGTCTTAATGACTGTCTCATCCTTCTCAGTTTGCTATGATCTAATGCCTCAGTCCCTGTACTCTTTCTATCACCCCAAGGAAGACTCATCCTCCAAGCCACAGAAAATCTAACATGTGCAGAGATTCCTGAATTATATCTTAGGCACCAGATGCTATCTTAATGCTATGCCCAGTGGAAGGTATACAACAACTATCCACATGGATTTGTGTTACATTACAATATATATGTCCTCATGAATTTAGTATATGTGGTGACTGTACTGAGAATGATTAAAGACATATTTATGAAATAACCAACATACATTAATTTTCTTGGAACATAACATCATTTGATAATATACTGTGGTCTAATTCTTTTGACTTGGAAAAATTTCCCGTGTATTTGATCTCAATCCATAAGACAGAAATTTCTTACTTGTTTCTGTAGTGTCATCATCCCCAAATAAATATATTGTACCATCGTGCCCCCACCAATGAGTCAAAAATCCTTAAATCCTGAACACTGTTACATAATTTGTCCATCACATGTGCACACACTTATTCCAGGCGTGTGTGTATAAAATGGGAATGATGAGCATATCTATGTAAGTTTAATGCCAACAACTTCTCTCTTTCCCTGATACTGAAATGAAGAGTGGCAGTAACAGAGTGATAACTGTCCTGAGACTGGACGCAACAACCTGTGTGGAGAGGATTTAGTGGTTCAGAGAAATAAGGCAGCCGAGTCAGTACCCACACTTGGTCTCAAGGATCTCAGCAGAGGAAGCACCTGGAGGTCCTGTGCTGTTTTCTCAAAGCTTCTGTGGGAGCTGCAGGACCTGAGCTTCTGTTCCTGATTGAAATGCAGTAGAATCCTCAGAAGAGGAGGTTTGATTCTCTAGGGCTCAACCCAGTTGGCTGCACTTGAGGGTTCACTGGGTTCCTGGCCCATGAGACATTGTCCGTGCCTGTCTCTGCTGAGAAGAAGGGACCAAGCAATTTCCCTTTTCTATTTCTGTCTTCATCCCAGCAGGACCCTCAATTAGGAAACAGAGACAGCCACACAGCACACCTCTGGGATGAAAGGTCTCCTTGCAGTCCCTGGACAGTTGGCAAGATTGGCCTTTCTGCACTGCCATCTTCCCGGTCTCCATAGGGAACAGGTGAGTCTTGGGAAGTAGGACCAGTGTGACCAAGAATGCAGCTCAGCTTCTCTGTGATGTCATCTGGGCCTCTCTGCTGCAGCAGAAGTGGGAAGAAAGGACCCTGAAAAGGGATGTGGTTGCAAGTAACACACGTATGTGTGGAGATGCTGTGGAGAGCTGCTTGGGGAGATGTGGGGCAGACTGGGGAGTGAAAGAGGGACCAAGGTGTCTCTGGAGGACCAATTAGGATCTTTCTGGAGGGAAGGTCTTCAGGGCACAGACCATGAGTGCAGGTCATTTGCTGGATATATCCTCTAATCTCTGTTCTGAAGTGAGGAGATTCTGTGTTCCATCACTCCTGGGAGGAGGAAAGAATTCTCTCCACGGCAGCTTCCCCTTGAAGCTTGTTGTCTGAGAAAATTTTCTATTTCAGGCATTGTCATATTTATTTGTATTTCACTTTATCATTTTACCAGACATAACCATGTCAAAGTATAATTTTGGAAATCTCATATCAGTCAGTCATGCTGTAAATTAGTTCCTGATAGTGCATTCCTTGACATGCTAATGTTACAGCATAATTTAAGGAAAATGTCCCACAGTTATCAAATTTTGTGAAGGTTGCAAGTGTGTTCTGCCTCTACACGTCTACTGTGAGGATAAACACACTTGGGGCTACTAAATAATTGTTTATGAATATATAAAAACCTTGCTGTATAGTTGGCTTTGTATAAATATTGGAACTCTTTCTTTTGATGTTCCAGGAGACCTAAAGAAAATGTGAAAATCAGGAAAATATAGGAGAAAATATAGTAGCAACCTGAAACGTGTCTGAAACAGTCATCTTAGGACTTATGCCTAATTCCATATGCCCACCAGTTATAAAAGTACTTTAGAGTATAAAAGTAAACAAAACCTTAAAGATGAGAAGAAATCAAATATATTTATGGTAACAAATTTAAACCTAGTAAAGTTCATCATTTCAAAATTACATGTTTTCTTTGGCTGTGTTGGTAGTGAGTTTTGAAATATTTCCAAGTTCATGCAATTGGGTTTTATTTTAAAATTTGAAATAAAAATATATATTGATTTTATGTAGTATGTAAACATGAAAAAACATACACAGAATCATTCACACGCGCATGTGTGTTTGTGTGTGTGTGTGTTGCTGAGGACTAAAGCCAGGGCTTCACACATGGTAGGCAAATATTTTACCATTCAGTCACATACATCTTTAGTGCTGACAAATATATATATTTGAAGTCTCAGAAATGAAAGATTGTGCAATTGAATGTGGTCCTTTCTTGTGGTTTATGAATGCATGCTAGTCCAATGTGAAGGTGATGTTTGGATTCATTATCTCTAACAGATCCAACATTGATGATTAGAAACAATAACCTTCACTTTCTGTAACTCAACAGAGAATATCTTCTTACACTCTTCTCTGGGGTACTGTGCTTAGACTTACATTTGGTGTAACATTTTCCTTGCAAGGAAAAGTTATTCGCCCCATAAGATGGTTTTAGAACATATTCACATTGAGTTAATTATAGATAAAAATCTCCTTTTCCACCAAACTTAGTAAGTGTATGAAAAAAATGTCATGTGATAGCATAAGTTTGAGAAACAGTGGTAACAAGTGGAATAGAATTCTTTTATAAACAATTTTTATAGCTTTCACTATGCTAATACAAATCATGACCTAATTTAAGATGAGACATCTAATATGTAATCATTTACAAACTTATTTTGACACACCTGTTTGTAAAGTCCTCTGTAGGAATTAGTGTCCTGACGAAAATATTTTGGGAGATAGAGAGCAGGGTCATATGCTGATGAAGATATTACATAAGGCATTGTTTGGGAATGGTGCCTTCCAAATCTTGGCCTCATTACTGACTAGTTGCAGTATGTTTGCTGCTGATAATATTGAAGACATAGATTTCTAGAATTTACCCCATATCAACTGATTCAGCCTTCCTTTGGTACAGCAGAAGATAGTTCTATTTTAAGTAAATGTCTGAAGTAATGCTCATTCTCTGAATGATTAGGACCCTTTTCAAATGATAACTTCCTTGGTCACTATTAACCATGATGCTACAGTTTTTTCACAAAGGCCCCTCTAGTCCCAAACTCTATTTAAAGTATTCTTCACTTCTGAGTTCCTAAGACTATAGATCAGGAGATTGAGCATAGGGGTGAAAAGGCTATGAAACAGCAGGAGATATTGCTTCTTCTCCTTGGGGTTCCCATATCTGGGTGAAACATACGTGATAATAGCTGTGCCATAGAAGAGTCCAACCACACAGAGGTGGGAGGAGCAGGTGGAGAAGGCTTTTCTTTTACCTTTTCCTGACTGGATCTTCATGATAGCACAGAGGATGCACAAATATGAGACTACAATCATGGAGAATGGTCCCAGCAACACAGACACTGCCCCAGCCAAGACCATGTTCTCATTAATGTGTGTATCAGCACAGGCAAGTTTAAGAACAGCCATTATTTCACAGAAGTGATTGACTTTCTTGGACATACAAAAGGGTAAAGGTAAAAGTAACATGAGGTGAATGAGGGACAGAAGAAATCCAGTGGTCCAGGAAGTCACTGCCAGGGTGATGCAGACACTCCAGCTCATGATGGCAGAGTACCGCAGAGGGTGGCAGATGACCACATAGTGGTCATAGGACATCACTACCAAGAGGAGACATTCTGTGATAGCAAAAGTCAAAAAGAGAAAGGTCTGAGTCATGCAGCCCGCAAAGGAGATGGGCTTGTCTGGGTTCAGCAGGTTCACCAGCATCTGGGGCACCGTGTTGCAGGCTAGGCAATGTCCACAACGGCCAGGTGTGAGAGGAAGAAGTACATGGGGGTGTGAAGCCTGCTGTCCAGGCAGATGAGCCCCAGGATGAGCCCATTACCCAGCAAGGTGGAAGTGTAGAACAGGGAGAAGAGGCCAAAGAGGAACATCTTCATCCTTGGGTTAAGAGGGAATCTCAGGAGGATGAACTCTGTAATGGAGGTGGTATCATTCCCCATATCCCTGTGACAGAGGAAACTGAGGTGATTATCACTGTTTAAGAGAAGAGTTTAAACACAGATGGATGCTAACTTATTTTCTCAATACTCTTTTATGGTGGTAGCAACATATTCAGCAGATGAAATGAATTTATACATTTTAAATTAATGTTTAAAGATTTTATTTGATAACTGTCTTAGTTACTTTTCTTATTGTTGAGACAAAATTCCTGACACCAAAGTTAAAGGAGTAAAGGTTGATATGGCTTACAATTTGTAAAGATTTCTTTCTCTAGTTGGCTGGCTCCAAGGCAGGTTGTCATGGTGCAAGGGCATTGCAGAGGAGAAAGAGTTCATGGCAAAGAGGAGAAGGCAGAAGGCAACTAAGTGGTGAAGAAGCAAGCAGCGGCATCAGACCTCCTTTCTGTCCCTTTTGTTCCATTTGGGCTACCTGCCTTTAGGATGGGTAGCACTTAAAACCAGGCCAGGTCTTCCTTAATCCCAGCATCACACACTCTAGATCCTGCCACCTCCAAAACACACCTCACCTATGCCTTCATGAGGCTTTGGGGGGACAGGTAGACATAAACCATAACAATAATCCTAAAGTAAGTTAAAAAATCTTACATGCACTTGTATACATGTTTCTTTTTTAATGTCTCTAACATTTTTAATGAAGCTAAAAATTCAAGATAATTTTTTCCCCTAAATTGTATAATGGATAAGATGAAACAGGAAGAAAAGGGCTGAAGGTATAGAGGAAGTGGGAAGGGTAGGGGAAAGGGAAAAAGGGACAAGAAAAAGTATGAGAAAAGGAAAGTATGGAAACAAAGTCTTTGTAAACAGCAGAGGGTGGAGGGAGTAAAGGGAGAGTAGTGGTATGGGGAAAAAATGAGAACCAAGGTCTGTCATGTAAAAGTACGAGATCCCAATGATAATTGTAACTATACTGTATACTTAAAAAGTACCAATAAACTCAGTAAAATTAAAAAACATTTATCTTATTTTAATTTTTTTAATTTAGCAAGCTGCCCCATATTCATCAAAGAAATTTTGCTTTTTCTTGGATTATATTATTCATAATTAGTTTTTATTTGAGAAACCATGAGCCCCAGCTGATGATGCATATGGGTCAGAGTTATCAAATGACAATGTTAGATGTTGAGTTGGAAGGGTTCCATAAAGGCAGAGTAAGCTGAGGTTCAATATACCAGCAGCCAAATGCACCATTGGCTGTTCACCTTTAATATATGTGGTTACACATACTTCCTGGCATCAGTCTCTACCTGCATAATAAATATGTCATCAAATCTCTCATGTAAGTGTAAAGACATGTTCAGTCTAAAGCCTTATTTTTGGTTATTTGGTTTTTGAATAAGCGGGTGTGTGAATGATTGAACAGGTGCTTTGTATTTTTTTTTTGCATTGTCATGTAGACAAGAAAACAGAATCAGTGATGTTTGTTGGCACAGATCTAGTATTGACAAACTGCATAGTTTTAGGCTTCCTTGCAAGTGATTGGCAAAGGCTTATCTTCCATGAGCAATGTTGTGGAATGGGTCTCTAAAATCTCTGCAAGATTGATCTAAATAACATTTCAAACTCTATTACCCCACAGTAAAAATGGAAATACAAACTTGATATTGCCCTTAATGCTTAAATTTTATTCACATTTTACATAAAGGGAATTTGTCTGGGAGATAGCAAGTATAAGTAATAGGCCTCAATTTAAATTGTCATAAAACTATAAATTGAAGAGAGTAAAACATCATAAAATATTATCTCATTTACCGTGGACCTCTCTTACTACCATTCCAAAGGTAAGTGGCTTATTCAGAATGGTGAAAATAAAATAATATACAAGTATTTACTGATTTCCTATTATTTACCTACTATTCTTAGAGTGGACCTATCCATAAATAAAACTCTGAGCTACTCAAATTGTCTGTAGCATCATAAGATTATGTGTAATAAATAAGCATTTGTATAATCATCTACTTGGCGTACTTCAATATATGACATTTTATGCACAATTTTTAAAAATAAAAATGTAAGTCTATTTTGTTAATATTAAGTTTTCACCAGGAAGTAATTTTCACATATATATCACTTCCCCTTAAAATAGCTATCAGTGAAAAATAAACCATTAACATATTGATTAGAGTAATATTGATATAATGAAGATCATTAATATTTTAAATCAGGTTATCCTATTATCTAAAAGTACTAATGAGCAGAATTTGAGCATCAAGAGAGCATATATATATATATTTTTTTTTTTTTGGCATGACATTAAAGTAAAAATAAGCAAAAAAATGACTTTAAATTATATTTAACCAGAACTCACAAAGACAATCAGGAAACCTGGGTGGCTAGAGATGGTTGCTGTATTAAGGAATCCAATAAATCTTCATGCAGATTAGGTAAACATTTTTGCAATGTGGCTGAATCTGCTGAGAGTCCCAGATAGCTTGTTGCTTATCTGAGAACAGCCAAGGAAGGATCTTGGCCCTTCAACTTGCGTTTTGAAAGGAAAGGTTTTATTAATTCATCATTTCCACAGAATGCCTTCCCAATTGTCATGAGAGCTTTGCACAGTGCATGAGGAAGTAGGTCTCACTTGTACTAGCATGTTTCCTATAGAGAAATGAAGAACCCACCGTTGTTATTCTTCTAGCCTGCAGAGGATTGAGTCTATTTCTGTTTCTGTGGAAGTGTAGAGATAGTGAGATCATTAGAGTCTAAGGCAAAAAACAGCCAATACATTCATAACTAAAGAGATATGCATATATAAAGGCCATACCCTGGGACCACATCACTATTGGATCCAAATATGAACATTTCTATAGTTTCATGAATTTTTATGCTGCTCTGGTCCCAAACATTCAGGAGGTACTTGGGAGATGGAAAGATCCATGTCCAGCTATTATTTGGCAGTGAAATAAAATTAATTCCTGCAGCCATATTTCTTTTACTGTTGTCTATTTTACTGGGGGTGGAAGAATGAATAATTTCTAAACTCTAAGTCTTTAGATCATTTTCTTTTTTTAGACCATTTTCAATACAAACTCAGACCTGTCATCCTTGGGCATAGATCTGGAGTGGATGGGCAGCTGTGTTAGTGGTTTGGAACACCTGGGGCTTGTTGCGCGGTCCTCAAGAAGAATAAGTGAAGCGTTAGGACGGAGGAAACTTCACTGTCGAATGTGTTCCTTCCTCGATGACGTCTATTCCTATCCTTGTGGGAAGGATAGCGTTCTGCAGAAGCAGATGGCCAGCTCCTATTCTCTCAACAATCACAGACAGGAACGAATCTATGGACTCTACCTATCAGAGCAGGCCGCCACTACGATCACTGTGTCTTCGTGGAGACGAGCACTCCACTTCTCTAGGGTGTTATTGACAATCCAGTGTCTTACAGCCGTGTGTCAGCTCACAATTTACATTGGGTCGGAATTTCTGAGAAGTGCAGACATGTGGGCTGGTAAATCCTTTGTAAATTGGATTATTTCTAAAGTTTATTTAGGATTATTCATTGCTTGTATGTAAAAAATGAGGTGGGTTGGAGAGAACTAAACTACCAGGTATTGGGCATATAGCTAAAACATCAAGCTGAAGTGAGAAAACAGCCAAGCCTGCAATCACTTCATCTGGTGGTGAAAACAAGAGGGTGAAAAGAAGGGCTGGCCCTCCAAATGTCCATTTTCTTCATAAAATGCTATCAGCTGAGGAGCTGCTGGATCAACACAGAAGCGGAGGATTAGCTTATTGTGGAGGAAGCTGGGTACAAACTGCGAAAGTGATTGAGATTTAAAATTTTTTTATTTTAGATTTTGAAAACCATGAGTCTATTTCTGTTTCTGTGGAAGTGTAGAGATAGTGAGATCATTAGAGTCTAAGGCAAAAAACAGCCAATACATTCATAACTAAAGAGATATGCATATATAAAGGCCATACCCTGGGACCACATCACTATTGGATCCAAATATGAACATTTCTATAGTTTCATGAATTTTTATGCTGCTCTGGTCCCAAACATTCAGGAGGTACTTGGGAGATGGAAAGATCCATGTCCAGTTATTATTTGGCAGTGAAATAAAATTAATTCCTGCAGCCATATTTCTTTTACTGTTGTCTATTTTACTGGGGGTGGAAGAATGAATAATTTCTAAACTCTAAGTCTTTAGATTATTTTCTTTTTTTAGACCATTTTCAATACAAACTCAGACCTGTCATCCTTGGGCATAGATCTGGAGTGGATGGGCAGCTGTGTTAGTGGTTTGGAACACCTGGGGCTTGTTGCGCGGTCCTCAAGAAGAATAAGTGAAGCGTTAGGACGGAGGAAACTTCACTGTCGAATGTGTTCCTTCCTCGATGACGTCTATTCCTATCCTTGTGGGAAGGATAGCGTTCTGCAGAAGCAGATGGCCAGCTCCTATTCTCTCAACAATCACAGACAGGAACGAATCTATGGACTCTACCTATCAGAGCAGGCTGCCACTACGATCACTGTGTCTTCGTGGAGACGAGCACTCCACTTCTCTAGGGTGTTGTTGACAATCCAGTGTCTTACAGCCGTGTGTCAGCTCACAACTTACATTGGGTCGGAATTTCTGAGAAGTGCAGATGTGGGCTGGTAAATCCTTTGTAAATTGGATTATTTCTAAAGTTTATTTAGGATTATTCATTGCTTGTATGTAAAAAATGAGGTGGGTTGGAGAGAGCTAAGCTACCAGGTATTGGGCATATAGCTAAAACATCAAGCTGAAGTGAGAAAACAGCCAAGCCTGCAATCACTTCATCTGGTGGTGAAAACCAGGGTGAAAAGAAGGGCTGGCCCTCCAAATGTCCATTTTCTTCATAAAATGCTATCAGCTGAGGAGCTGCTGGATCAACACAGAAGCGGAGGATTAGCTTATTGTGGAGGAAGCTGGGTACAAACTGCGAAAGTGATTGAGATTTAAAATTTTTTTATTTTAGATTTTGAAAACCATTTTAATGGCGTCTTACAGAAGAGTTAA